GGGGATAGCAGATGGTGGAGCCTGACAGGGGGAGATTAGGGAAGCCTTCTCTGAGGAAGAGATGTTTGAACTGAAACCTGGTGGTGAGAGAAAAGTTAGCCAGGAAACGAATGGGTGGGGTAGAGGCAGGGAAGGGATATAGCCAGAGGCCTCGACTTCCTTCTTTCAAAACTTGAGTTGGACTAGACAAGTTCAAAGGTCCCTTTTACTTCTAACATTCCTAGCAAATGTAAACATGCTCATTTTGTCTCTTTCTGTGTTGTATGTAGCTTCCTCATTTGTACTGTAGTCCAGGTTAAATCAAGTGTAATGCTCAGTATGTGCTAAATAACTCACAAATGGTTGCTGTTACTCGTGTAAGGTTGGGTTAGAGAAGGAGATGCGACCAAGGGGAGCAGGTACAACCTCAAGCTCCAGAACTAGAGAGCTTTTCTCCACAACTCCTGGCTACAAGTTTCTCAAAGTCCTAGATGGAGAGTTGGGTGAACTGTGAAGGCCAGTTCTTAACTAGATAATCTGTAATAAGTGCTTCATTCTTGTAGTAATATTCTAGCCTTTACAGTCATGTTTAGTCATTTATTTTTGCCTCATCCCTAGTCAGCTGTAGAGTGTGGTGACAGAGCAGCAAGAGCACGTTTGAGTTCTGTGAGGTTGCCCCAATTTCATTTTCCCAGAGACTAGGGCACAGGTAGAGAGAGGTATTCTCTCTTCCTGTTTCTGCCTCCAGCTGTGGTGTCTAAAATAAGAAAATTGCTGACAATCTCTTAAGGTCTCTTTTGTTATAAATTCTGTCTTATGTGATTTGGTGGGGAGAGAAAGACACGACAAACTCACACAAATGAACATGGCAAATTCTGGAGACCTAGATTCAAATTCAGATAACATTTTTACTGGGTGACCTTAGACAAGAAGATGTAGTTTCTGTGTTTTATTGATTCTAATGTACAATTTTTTTTTCACAGTTTAGCCTTCTTGAAACCTAGATGCATTTTAAAGTCAATTCGTTTTTTTTAGTTGTACATAAAATAATGATGTATCTTACAATTGGTGGTATCTCGGATTTGATGGAATATGGTATTTTGTCTTAACTATTGAGGCTAACAAGTCATCTTATTTACCTCATGTAGGCTTCTTATTAGGATTAACAGGGTTAATTTATTCAGCAGATTAGATACTTTTATGTGCTAGAATAGGCATTCTGCTATGCCCTTTTCATGTATTATCTGACTTTATATAGGACTTATCGATAATAAGCATTAAATTGGTAGCCTTTACTGTAATTAGTTGTTACTACTATTCTGTCCAAGCTTCATAAAAACCCTGTGAGGTGATAGTTGTTCTAGTTTCTATAACTGAAGATTCTGAGACACAGAGGGAATTACGTAATTTAACATTGTAGCTTAATTATAGCACTCTCTTCTCTACCACACTGTCTCTCAGCTCTCTTTATTTGACGGGGCTAAGGCTGCAGTTAAATGACTCTTCAAAGCCACTCCACAGGTCTGTCTGGTTGATTGCTGCTGTTCCTAAGCCCATCCATGTTTCTAGTGATTACTCCTGTGTCTGCATAGCTTAGTGGTCAGCCAGTGGTTGGTCAGACTTTGTTGCTCAAATACCTCAGGCTGGTAACCTCTGCCAATGGATTGGAAGTGCATTTCAAGTTCAGGCAGTTTTAAGTCTTCCTCAACTTTTACTTTCTACTGGGCCTTCTCAGATCTCCTTTGTGTGTGAATATCAGCTTGTGTTCAACCAGGGTTGTGTGGATCATTTGGACCCTCTTTGGACTCTTCTGTGTGGATGCATTAGTTGCTTATCATGGCCACCTATAGCTATCTCATTTTCTAGATCTTCCTATTAAATTTCTGGCTAGTTTGCCAGTTCATTGGTTTTCTCAACTAGAACTGTAACCACAGGCTAGAGGAGCTGTTGGTCTTCCCCGTTGATTTGCCACTGAGATTGATAGTGTTACTGACAACATTGCCAGGCTTGAGGTTTTTCCATGCTCCATCCCAGATCAAGTCAGTCTTTTTCAGTAGGGAAGGTGTTGGTTTTTACAGCTCTCCCCTTTCCCCCAAATGGAATGACTTTGCAGACCTCACTGGGGTTGGGGAAAGGCAGCCCCAGGCAAAAATCCACACACTCCCCTGTTCTTACCTGAAGTCAATAGTTTTTCATGAATAACTGCTTCTCAATTTGGTGTATGCCTTTGATTGATTTCCAGAGCCCTGAAATTGTTTTTGACAATTTTGACCAGTTTTATTGTTGCTTTTTTGGGGAAAACTTTTCTGAGTAACTCACTCTGCCATGTCAGGAATCCTACCCCTCCTTTATATTTATATTTACCACTTCTTTGCTACTGATTCTTTCTTGCAGCACAGATGTTCTATCTGGGGTAATTTTCCATGTGCCAAAAGTACATCCTTTAGAATTTTCTTTAATGAGCATATGCTGGTATATCACACACATACGTTTTCTTGTCTGGAAATATGTTTATTTTACTCTGATTCATGAAGAATATTTTCAATGGGTGTAGAATTCTAGGTTGTCATTTTTTCAAGACATTGGAAGTTAAATTTCAGTGCCTTCTGGCTTCCACTTTTTTGCTGTTGAGGTCACTGGTTAGTCTGTAATTCCTTTGAAGTTAATCTTACTTAGGTAGCTCTTAGGATCATATCTTTGCTTTACTGTTGTAGAATTTTACTTTTATGTGTCTTAATATGATTGTACTTTTATTTATCTTATTAGGACCTATTGGGTATTTTGAACCTGTGAAATAGTGTTTTTAAATGTTTTTTTTTTTCCTTTTTGTCTTTTTTCGTGACTGGTAATGGGATTGCAACCCTCGGTGTCGCGCCCGTACCGCGACCGGCAACGGGATCGCAACGCTCAGTGTCGCGCCCGTACCACGACCGGCAATGGGATCGCAACCCTCGGTGTCGCGCCCGCACCACGCTCAACCAGTGAGCGGACCGGTCTCTATATGGGATCCAAACCCTTGGCGGGAGTGCCGTCCCGCTCCCAAGCACCGCACTCTACCGAGTGCGCCACTGGGCTGGCCCTGTTTTTAAATCTTTTATCCATGTTTTTCTTATTATCTCTGTGCGGCTTTCTATGTGTTTTCCTCTTCCTTGCAAAGTTCTACCCTTACCCCTTATGGCGACTTCTCTACAGATGTTTATTGGTAGGAGTTTGGGTGGATTTAGTTTTGTTTCACTCATATTCTCTGGGCATATAACCCTTTTGTGGTCCCAGTTCAATGTAGAGAAGGACTTCTTTTAGACATGGGTGGGGCTGGGCCAATGTCTTGAATTATGTCTTTGTCTCCCTTTAAGACTGCTAAACCCAAAGCCTCAACTTTGTGTAGGTTGGCAGTAACTTCAAGACAAAAGCCCTCTAGATTTCCACTTATCTCTCTGGGTTCTTTCTTTTTTGGCTTGCAAATACTTTGGTGATGATGGTGATTATTATTATTTAAAAAATATTCTAGCCAGCATTTTTAGTTTTCAGTAAGAGGATTGTCTAGACTGTAACTATCATAAATAGATGGCTCCCTTCCATTTACCCCTTGGGCCATATAGTCTTTTATATTTACCCACATATTTACCATTGTCCATATTCTTCATTCCTTTTCATAGATCCAAGTTTCTATCTGGCATCATTTCCCTTCAGCCTGAAGAACTTCTTTCAGCATTTCTTGTGCAGATCAGCATAGTTATTCCTAGACCTTAATGTTATCTTCATATTTAAATGAAACCTTGCCCCTATTTAGCAGGGCTGCTAAAACAATTATAGTGAGATAGAGAATGGGGTCAGATAAGAATGGAATTCTGTTCATCTTAGATTGAAATTCTTGGATGGCTGGAATTTAGTTTTTTATATAATCCAATGTAAAACTGATTGCATAAACATGCTTGCTATGTTGTTGCATTATTGGTTGTCTTTCAGTATCCTCCCTCGTGTCCCCCTCTCCCAACTTTGGTCATTCCACAAAGCCAAGAACATTTACCCTTATATGAAGAACCTTTGATATACTGACTTATATAATATGAAAATTGCTAATTTAGTAAGATTGATTATGTTTACATTCAGCAGTGAAAGCCCTAACATTAAATATAGGGGAAATAAGGAAGTAAGTAATTGATGCATTGTAGTTCATTTCTATTGTTGTTATTAAAGCCCCTTAACATTTTGACGTTTCAGAGTGTTTCAACTGTCTAGATGATTCTCTTAATGAAAAATAATGTTTGTTTAGAGCATAAAGCTGACCTTTTCTTTCCTAACTTTAAAACTTTTCAATGGCCCCACCTTTTGTACAGAGTAAAAAGTATTGCCTCCTTGGCAAGGCATAAAAAGATCTTTCAGTTTAGTTTCTTGTTTCTTTCTCTACCTTTGCGTCCTGTTGCTCTTGTATTGTGTGCTACAGTGGTTGTTCTTAGTTCCCTGACCACACCTTGCCATTTCACACCTCTGAGCCCTTGTCATTTCGTGTTCCTCTTTGCCTGGAATTCCTTATTTTAGCATGGTAAAATCCTACTTGTCCTTTAAAAGCCAGGTTTCACAGCTTCTGTGTTTTCCCCGGTTCCTCCAGAGTTTATTATCCCTTCCTATGCTCTTGCATAATTCTATTATTGAACTTTTTATGAAACAATTTAATTACTTAAATAGAGGTTTGAATCCAACAATAATAAGCTGAAGGCTCTTTGAGGGCATTTTTTATGTGTTGGCTCTTTAATCATGTAGTAAATGTTGAATAAGTGAGCGATGGGAATATATGCTCTTTTTAATGACTATATAATAAGTAAGCAGAGAAATTCAAAACTACCATTATCACCCCCTTTGTGTTAATTGGAATGTCTTCTTAAGTTTGTTCACTAAAGTTTGCAATTTAATGTACTTATGAGGTCTTTTGGTTTTTAAAAACAAAATGATTTACCACCTAATTGAAATAATTCTAAACAAGTTAGAATCTTCCTAAAGCATGTTTTCATTTCCATCAACAGAATCCAACGTGGCGGAGTCTTGATTTTGGAATAATGCCGGACCGTCTTGATACATCTGTGTCTTGTTTTGTGGTGAAGATATGGGGTGGAAAGGAGGATGTCTACCAGCTGTTGATTGAATGGAAAGTCTGTTTGGATGGGCTGAAATACTTGGGTCAGCAGGTAATTTTTGGACTACAGTTTAAAGTAGTTGTCATCTCCAAATTAACCTTTCTAACCTTTTTGTTGATTCTTCTGACTCTACATTTCCTATTATAAAGAGAGACCTTTATGATTGCCTACTTTTGTTACTAGGGAAGATTTTTATGATTATTTGCTTATGTTACACTACTTATGTTGTTATGTCTGAGTCATTGCCCAGCTTTAAAAAAAAATACCTTTAACTGATGAAACTTATGAAGAATCACCCGAAGGTGCTAATTTAAGATGTTTTATGTATGTGTGTGTGTTTGTGTGCATGCGTATGTGTGGGTGTGGGTGTATAGGAAAGGATATGCTTTCTTATAGTGTTCTGCTACTTCTTTTTCATTGGATGCTCTCCTGTAGAATCTGAAAATGAAGTTGAAATAAGTAATACACCATTAAACACCTCTCTTTTGACCAGTAGAGTTGGGTTATTCCAGGATTAAGAAGAGCTACTGTTTATTGAGCACAGGGATGATAATTGCCTACCTTATACATGGCTACCTGTCCCCCACCTTTGCTGTACCCATGACTGATTAGCTAATTGATCATTCTCTTCTAGCTGAGCTCTTTATTGAGCACAGGGATGATAATTGCCTACCTTATACATGGCTACCTATCCCCCACCTTTGCTGTACCCATGACTGATTAGCTAATTGATCATTCTCTTCTAGCTGAGCTCAAGTAGCTCCATAGTTCTTTCTAATGCAAAGTTCCAGGATGCAACTAGCAATCTATCAGAATTGCATATGAAATGAAACTTATTTGCTACCCCAGACATAGGTTATTATAATTAATGTTTATAGCAACCTTGTGAAGGTTGATATTATTGCCTTTATTTTCCGGATGGGAAAATTGAGTCTCAGAGATTTTAAGCAATTACTCAAGATCACACAGTTAGATAGAGCTAGAATTTAAATCCGGTCTTGGGTGACTTAAAAATTTGTTTTCTTTGTACTATACTACACTGGTGTATACGTATATGGTCCTTGGTAACCCTCCTCCTCCTTGAAATAAGTACCATTTCTTTTTGTGGTATCTATGGTACCACTATTAAAGGTAACCCTAAAATGTTAGTTATAGATTATTTATAAATATCCTTGATGTTTTCTTAATATTTATTCAATATATGCTTTCTGGTATGTTTCTTTTTGAAGAAACAATTTAATTCTCATTATTATTACTGTTTTTTTCCTTTTTGTCTTTTTTCGTGACTGGTAACGGGATCGCAACCCTCGGTGTTGCGCCCGTACCGCGACCGGCAACGGGATCGCAACCCTTGGTGTCGCGCCCGCACTGCGCTCAGCCAGTGAGCGGACCGGTCCCTATGGGATCCGAGCCCTCGGCGGGAGCACCACCGTGCTCCCAAGCACCGCACTCAACCGAGTGCGCCACTGGGCCGGCCCCATAATTCTCATTATTTTTAAGATTAAAATTTTCTGCTCTCATTTTGCTTACGATATTTTTACTTTTTATTGAAAGTTTTTTTTTTTTTAACTGTGGCTAACATGTTTTACAATAAATCTCTTGAACTTATTCCTGCTACCTAAAATTTTATATCATTTGACCATCTCCCCAAACTTCCTCCCCGCAAACCCCTGGTAACCATCTTTCTACTCTCTACTTCTGTGAGTTCAGTGTTTTTTTTTTTTTTTAATTTGTTTAAAAATCACTATAGCATTATAAGCAAACAAATAAAATTATAATTGAATAAAATTCATCTTTGGTAGATTTACTTTGCAAATATGTCTGTGTGGTTAGGATTCTGCAGTCCTAGACCTTTATGACCTACAGAAAGTGGAATTCTATATAGACTTCTGTGTATCTGTTCTGTGCTCCAATGATCTACAAAATAATAAATCATTCCATTAATCGCATAGGAACATTTAAGTCACACTTGTAACCTCTAGCTGACTAAACTGTTGTCAGATCAATTTATATAATACTGAATATATACACATATATATATAGAGAGAGATGTATATGTATATACACACACACACTCATATATATATAAAACAACAGAACACAAATTTTGCTGTTTACCAGACACAATTCAGACATTATTTACTTTGTCAAAGAATGCCCTTAGAGTTTTATTACACTCTACATCATTGAAAATAAAGTATTAGCACACATATTATTTTACTGTGGAAATATATATTATATATAATGCTATATTTATTATAAATGTGTTCACATATATCATATATATACATTTCAGAAACACCTAGGCAAGTTCTTTTTTTTTTTCTCCCCCTTTTTGTCTTTTTTACTGACTGGTAACGGGATCGCAACCCTTGGTGTTGCGCCTGCACTGGGGACCAGCAACGGGATCGCAACCCTCGGTGTCGTGCCCGCACCGCGCTCAGCCAGTGAGCAGGAACCGGTCTCCACATGGGATCCGAACCCTCGGCGGGAGCGCCACCACACTCCCAAGCGGCACACTCTCCAGTGCACCACCGGGCCAGCCCAAGTTCAGTGTTTTTAAATTATACATACAAGTAAAATCATGCTCTTAACCATATTTTTATTTAGTTTGTGTCCTTCTTATAGTGACTAGAGCAAAGCATGTCGTATATATATTCCTTAACTAAATTCTAACCTCCTACAATTTTTAAATCTCTTATCTTTTAATTTTTTTCTCTGTTTTAAGGCTGGTCTTAATTAAAACTTAAAAAATAATAACTTTTGGTTTAAGGCCTTTCTCTTCTCTTTTGGTACCAGATACTGGTTGCCTTTAGACTAGCCAAGAAGAACCCAGCACTGAGGCGTGTGCTCTGTCTGTCTTCCCACATGCCATACTTGGCTCTCTGTGGATAGGCTTTGTTATCAAGTACTTCTTTATCTTTCATCTGATTTTGTACATTTCGTGGAATATGGTGCTTCTTAACATTGCAGTTGCAAGGCAATAGATTGGCCAGTGAAGATGGCCTTGGCCTTCATCCTGTTTTTCAACTCACACATTCCTTAGGTGGTGGTCTTCTTGAAATACCCAAATGTGTTTATGCTAACCTGCCCTAATTTCAGAGAGTTGGCATTCAGGTGTTGTCTTATGAAGTTGGTTATGCTGGTATACCAAAGAACAAAAGAAAGAGAAAACATTTTTTAAGCCAACTAGAAACTTGATATCATTGTGGGAGTTCAAAACTTATTTATGAAATAGATATAACAAGCAACATAGTAGGGCTGGCTGGTTAGCTCAGTTGGTTAGAGTGCAGCCTTATAACACCAAGGTCATGGATTCAGGTCCCCACCCTGGGTTCAGGTCACCACCCCAGACAGCTGCCAAAAAAAACCCCAAAAACAAAAAAAAACATGTAACATAGTACTAAAAATCAGATAAAATAGAATTACAAATTGTTAGAGGAAAGTGAAACTAAGATGTATTAGGATAATAGCCAGAATCAATTACGTTTGTTAATTGATCATCTGCTTTCCACCAGGCATTCTCTCGCTGTTAAGCATCCAGAGATACATAAGACAAGATTCTTAGACTTGGTAAGCTGGTGATTGATGAATACCTTCATAGGGAGCAATGGGAGTTGTACCTGGAGGAGGTAGTTAGACCAGCCTGGATAGAGTCAGGGAGGGCTGACTTCTGAATGGTTTTCTTTTAAAATCAGGTTTATTGAAGTACAATTTATATATGATAAAATTCATCCTTTTAAAGTATATAGTTCAATGAATTTGACAAATGTATAGAGTAGAATAACCACGATCATAATGAATAAAGCTGCTGTGAATATTTAAATATAGGTCTTTGTGTTGACATATATAGTCATTTCTTTTGGGTAAATACCCAGGAATGGAATAGCTGGGTCTAATGTAAGTGTATGTTGAAATTTATAAGAAACTGACAAAAGTTTTCCAAAGTGACTGTAACATTCTGCACTCCAATCAGTAGTGTATGATAGTTCCATTTGTTCCACATCTTTGCTAGCCCTTGTTATTGTCAATCTTTTTAATTTTAGCCATTCTAATGGGTTTGAAGCAGTATCTTATTGTGACTTTAATTTGAATTCCCCTAATGACAAAATGATGTTGAGCATTATAAAAAATATGCTTATTTGCAATCAGTCTCTCTCTTGCTCGCTTGCTTGCCTGCTCGCTCGCTCGCTCGTGTGTGTGTGATCTTTTGCCCTTTTTTTTAGGTGGCTGGCTGATAAGGGAATCCTAACCCATTACCTTGGTGTTACCAGCCTTTTGCCCCCTTTTTTTGGGTTGTTTGAATTCTAATTTTTTTATATGGTTGTAAAAGTTCTTTATGTATTCTGGATATAAGTCAGTTCTTTGCAAGATATGTATTTTCCAAATATTTTCTGTCAGTCTGTGGCTTGTCTTTTCATTTTTTTTAACAGTGTCTTTCAAAGAACAGAAGTTTTTTATTGTTTATAAAGTTTACTATACCAATTTTCTCTTTTGTGTTTCATGCTTTTTGTGTCTTCTCCAAAATATTTTTGCCTACCCCATGGTCACAAAAATTTTCTCCTATGTTTTCTTCTAAAAGTTTTATAGTCTTAGGTTTTAATTTATGCTTACGATCCATTTTGAATTAACTTTTATATAAAGTGCAAGGTTCTTTGATTTGCAGATTGGTGAACAATTGTTCGTGTACTATTTGTTGTAAAGCTATTATTTCTCCATTGAATTACCATATCATTGTTGTTAAAAATCATTTGTGTGAGTCTATTTCTCTATTTTCTATTCTATTTCATTGATCTCTATATCTATCCTAATGCCAATACCAAATAGTCTTAATTACTGTAGTTTTATAGAGTGTCTTGAATTCAGGTGGTAATATGAGTCCTCCAACTTGTTTTTTTCCCAAAATTGTTCTGGTTATTCTAGGTCTTTTGCCTTTTCATATATACTTTAAAATCAGTTTGTCAATTTCTACAAAAATCCTGCTGGGATTTTGATAGGTGTTAAATCTAAAAAAAATTGGGAGAGAATTGACATCTTAAAAGTATTGAGTA